GGTTGAAAGTGGGTCAGCTAATAAATATTACTTCAATATGTTTCTAATAGGAGGCTACCCAGCTTCTTCTGTTGTGTCATTGTTTCTAGAATACCAGATCATCTCTTACAACTGAAGAGATCAGCATCTCCCCAAAACTGCATGACTGTATATAGGTCAATCTGCCCTTAGAAAAAGGGGATCTTGGAGTTTCACCCACTCTTCTGTGAAACAGAAATTTGTAAGTTTAATATATTCAAGCAAACAAGAAAGCTAAGCAAAGTTTTCGGTTTAAATTATAGCTGTTACATGGAATTGCTTATATCCTACATACTTTCCAAGCAGAATTACTAATAGTTTGTTCTAAGAGTCCAGTGCAGTACGGGAAAACCAGAGAAAGAAAATTCTGCAGGCTGCAATTTGAACTTTTATTTTTGGGAAAGATCTAAGTATCACTAAGTCTCAGGTCAGAGCTTCTAGAGACAAATTTTTCAGATGTTTCATACTTTTTCCACATTTAACCGAGAGCAACTATCAGCATAGTGACTTCCCTTATTTTCACCTTGATTACACTTAGAATTTTATGTTGAGTAGGAACTTTCCATGTCAGCATATTAAAAGTGAAATTAATAATACTCAGAAAGCACCCTCGCCTATATCTTTCATTCGGCTTGGCCCACTGAAAAATAATTCCAGTACATCAACAGCCAACAGACATGCTTTAACTTCCCAGAAGTCAAAAAATGAAGTTATTTTTCCTGCACTGCCCCTCACTCCGGGTCCAAGAATCAAGGCTGAAAAGCAGGTATTATTTACCTTTGGAGAAGTCTGAATTTGTCACACACTTCTAGGACTCTCACCTGAACCCAGCTTAATTTTTATTTTGCTGTCCCTGACCCACCTGTTCATAGATTCATTAAATAAAAGTACCTAAACACAAATATAAACAATAGCACTAATGTTAAAAAAAAATAGCAAACCTAAATTAGACATATTTACAAAAACAGCCCACAACCAGTACACAATGGTTTGGCTTAAAAGCTTAATTTAGTCTAGAAGTTATGTCATTAAACACAAGAGTGCCTATAGCACTATTCCAACTATACCATATTAAATGGCAGATATGTACATATTGGTGCAACAAATGCATCTGCTCATCATGTGCTACAATGCTACTCCTTTGTTATGGTATCACAATTCACCACCAGCTTACTCTGGTGTTAGAAAAAACTTATTTCATGGAGAGAAGTTCTCCCTGAGTTCTTATTTTGCAGAGTAGCAGTTGTAGAGCATCATCCTTTGCACACGGGACTTATCTCCCAAGTGTCGCAGCACAATTAGCACTGGAAACAGTTCTGTACTTTTTCTAAATTCCTTAAATAGCATTGCCATACCTCACTAAACAGCTGTATGACAAATAAAAAGCTAATTTCAATGTTTTGATGTAATTTGGCAAGAAATTTGATATTGGTATGTCAGCATTTAGAGAAGTATGTTTAAAAGTACACACACAAAAAAACATTTAATCAAAACAGAATAGATTGATCTTACCTACTAACAGCCAAACAACGTTGGAGTCATGTTCTGTTAGGAAGTCTTCCAACTGTGTGATACTTGGGACAAAGCTATCATTTTTTCTTTGATCCATTGCTAAACTGTTTTTGCATCAGCACCTATAGAACTGAAAGCAAAAAAAAACCAAGAAACAACAAACACAAAATGAATAACAAGCACAGTACAGTTTGGAGAAAATTGAGTACATATCGTATTAAGTAATTTCTAACAGTCTGTTTCACACAAATATGAATTTACTTGGTTTATTCCTTCAGTAGCACCTTCTCAGCTACCCTTTATTGTACCCTAGAGCTCCAGAAACACTTCCACTCATCTCTGCTGAAACAGTTTCCAGGCACGCGCCTCCCTAAAACAAATGACAGATCAAAAGAATGCCAGAATGCACTCCAGATTTAGCACCCTGAATGCGCAGTATAGCATATAATAGCAAATAAATTTATAAAACTGTTGTACAAGTAAGAATGAGCCTGTATTAAGCCTTCTAACATGCAAAAAGGTAACTTGAGAGAATATGAGGCTCAACCCCTGCCCCCATTGAAGCAAAGGTCGAAGTGGACGCTTTCAGGAACTTTGGAAAATTCCCATAATCACTTAGCCCACTGTGTCCATTAATTCTGCTTTAGCATGGATTTGCATCAGCTAATATAAAGTCACTACATAGTGTCTCTGCCATAGAGATTAAAAAAACAGTCTTTCTGATCTCACATACTTATTCAACCACCCATAAACCACCTTGCAACTGGGTTATATTAATTAAGTGTGATTAACAGGGAGTAGCTCAACTCAGTAACATCTACAATTTAATCACACAGCACTATTTTCCTTGTATTAGTTTCACTTGAAGTCTTCTCCTTTGGAAGTTATCTGTCAAGCCTTCTTGCATGAAAATGAGCATTAATTCTGGTTGTTTTTTGTTGTTTGTTTTTTTTTTTTTTTAAACACCTTGCAGCTCCTGGCAGCCTGTCTTCCTGACAGTATTCAGCCCCCAGAAAAAACGAGCAAACTTTATTTCCTTTCTTTAGGAAGTCTCCAATGCTCTCCATCAAGAGCTCTAAAACAGAAAACTAAGTAACATTGGTAAAAGTTTAGTCTTTGAGCAGCATATCTTTTGAATAGTCAGCATTTAGAAGCGTTAGCAATAAAACTAACAATTTATCCAGTTTTTCCTGTAATATCCATACTACCTCTCACTATTATAATTTGAAAACAAAATGCAGAAGAACTTGGAAAAAAAAACAAACCCACCTGCCTTCAATGCATTTGTTTCTCCCCTACATTTGGGTGGACACAGAACCTTGAACTAAGAGCCTTTGTTTTGAACTAAAACATGAGCAGAGTCCCAAGAACAGTGCCAACAATTTGTTCACTACTTCTTCTGTAAGAAGGAATAAAACAGGAAGGAAAGAACAAGAAAGCAATAAACAGAAACAAACAAACAAACAATGAAAAACCCAACACCAAAACAGCAGACATTGCTTCCAGTGGTGATAAGGTAACTTAGCTCCCCTACAAAGAATACTAGAGCATCAAACACACACACTTTAAAAAAAAAAAAGCCCTTGTTTTACAAGGGACATTACAATGGCAAATTAAATCACATAATGGCACTACGATTTGCTTTAAAACTTTCACAGCACCTTTATAAAAAACCCACCTGCCAACTTGTATTATGAAGCAGATGATGCCTCTGCAGGCAGCCTCTGAGAGCCTTTAACCCCTGAACGTCGGGCTAACTGGAGAAATCAAAATCACCACTTCCAGCATAAAGGAAGGAATAAAGAACTTGTTTTTTCCCTTTCTTATCAGGAGACAACAAGGTCACTCTTTTGTGACCAAGACCACCATGGAAGTGCTGCCAATTGGCGAGCACTGCCTGCCACCTTAACGAACACTACCACGTAATCCCTCAAGAAAATGACCTGTGGCTTTTTCCTAGGAAGCTATCACCCAATGTTACATGATACTGACACAGGACATTAAACATCATTATGTTCTGAACAGGACTGCAGCAAGACAACTCAGAGACTGCAAGTCATGGGATTCTGCTAGTTACTTGATTAAATAAAGACCGTGTTCATTTTTTTTCACCACTATCCATAACCATAAATTTGATATCCTTGAAAGTTTTCTGGAATACATTCGCTATTTGCATGCAAATAAACTCAGGAATCCCCTATCAGTCATCATGTGTCAATACATCGTTTTGCAGCCCTGCAGCTGATCTTCTAACACCCTGCCCCACTGTTTTTTGGGTTTTTTTCGTTAGGGCATCCTTCCGCCTTGATCGAGTCACCTGAGGAAGAGGATGGTAACAGTAAAAGCGTAAGCATTCAGAAACAGGCAGCAGCACCACCTGCACTAGATGTGGGCTCTCAGTGTGTGTCTCAGAGGAGCAGGTGCTTAATCCATTCAGATTACGAAGCAATTTCGGCCATACGAATTAGCGTAATGGACAGGTGATGCACGCAGAGGCTTCAGTAGCACACGCTGTTCACAATGTCCTTGTGCATTTATACAACACAGAGGTTGGAGAGGCAGGATCTGGATCATCCTGATTGTTAAGAGGAAGGAGACACAGTCTTTTCAAGACAGACATACTAGCCACTTTCAGTAACCAGCATTTCTTTCTGTTGACAGTCCTGCACCTATCCACCTTCATCTTCCATGCCCCATACACTGTACCGTACATTTGAATTGCACATACCTCTCAGCTCCCTGCATACATCTTTCCTCTGTTATATTTATTCCTATGGGCAAAATTAATTTGCAATCCAACAAACTGTTGCGCTCTCCAGGAACTCTGATCCATAGGTTGATGAGCCTGTGATTTACATTCATAATGCTGCTCTATTCTTCTGAAGTAACAGTACACTTTCCAAATCTCATGAGACAACTCTTGGAAGAATGAGACCTAAGCTAGGTGGGAAACTAACTCTTACCAATCCTGCTAATACAAGAAAAAAAATACACCAAAGAGGAAAAGAAACCCAGAACTTGATGTTTACCTCTCTGCACTTATTTACAGTATTTTCTCAAGGTCTCTACTGTTTTGCCACGATGAGCTCAGTTAACACAGTGGAATATAGCCCAAAACTATAACAAGTGTTTTGTCTTATTTACCTTCCCCCACCTTTTTTTTTTTCTCTTTAAGCACATCTTTACTATTCAGTGTGTCACTTGTGGCTCTCATTTACCACATACCACTTTAAAACATGCAAAATGTATTAGCCTTCTCCTGGGAGGAGGGCAGGAGAAGAGGAAGATTCTGTGGCACCGAAGTGACAGTATCCCAATACTAGTATTTATCTTCACAGCAGTCCTTTAAGGTGTTACGGAGTCTTCTTTCTGAAAATGAGATATCTGAAACAAGGAGAGATAAAGGCCAAGCTCTTTATTTGTGATGCCCAGACTGAAATACTTGGGGCCTGCTTTTCAGGTTGGGCCTGTTTAGAGCACTTAGAGTGCTCAAGGCTGACAGTAGACTGGCTTGAAGATGTGAGGGTTCAATATTGCTGTAGATTTGCTCCTCCTGGTCAGACAGGCTTTCTTTATAGCAGATACAGACACTTAAAAAAACAACTTCTAATTACTTGGGTCACATATTCATCCATTTTTCTCAGTACTGAGGAGATGCAAGTGATTTTATAAGCCTGGGGGGATGCACTTTATTTCCAGCCAGTATTCCAAATTCAATCTGATTTTCACAGCAAATACTCTATCTCTAAAAAGCTAAACACTCAAAAGCAGCTGCTTCAAATCTTTATCAACACACTTCAATTGCATCAAATAGGTAAACTAGTTTTAACCTCAGCCTGACACATTAAGGCTTCACACCAAGAACAAACCTCTGCTTGAACAAAGTCATTAAAAATTAACAGAAAGCATGCATATATGAAAGAGCTGACACAAAAACTACAACAGAAGCCTGGACACCAGAGTCAGCTACAGCCTAGGGAGCCGCAACCCACCCGTAAAAGGTCTGTCCTGTACCCATAGCTGAGGATGAAGGCAACGTATTTTATTCAGTGCCCAAGAGAATTAAGGTCATATGGGTCTTGGGCTGCATAAGCAAAGGAGAAAGAGAAAGAAATGCCTGTTAATCACATCCTTTTTAACACTTTCTGGCACACCTTGTAGAAACAGCTGAATAAAACTGGTATCCAAAGGTGGGAAAAAACCCTATCGTTTCATGCTATTGAGAAGAAGCACTTTGATACAGTTATGAAGCGGGTAGGGAAATAATGGATGCTGCCAATCCCCTTATTAATAGGGGGAATAAACCAGGAGTTTAAATTTGTCAGACATATTCCTCAGGTCTTCACAGAAGTCAAGCGCTTACCCACTATATGTTAACTGATGTTATTAGAGGTTAACTACCATTCTGAGGATACTCAACTCCAAACTTCTACAGCAGTTACAAGACAGTGGAGTCACAATTACACCCACAATGACACATTAAACAACAGGAGGTAAATCCCCCTGGTCTAAATAAACAAACATAAGTAATAAGCCTGGATGCTTCACATCTCCAGTAAAGGAGTCACACCCACAGCAATTCCTTATAGAAAAGGAAATAAATGGCATTTTTGCATCCTACCCATTTCATCACTTTCTCCCAAGAGGTCTCCAGCAACAGCTGCTAGGAAATCAGAGCTCTAGATAATTAAATATGAGAAAAGAGTCTCACAAATGTAAATGCAACTCAGCAGAGTTTTCCTCTGAAGGTATGGTGACACTGTCAGCACCCTGACACACATTAGGCACATTTCACAAAACAAAAAGCTGCCAACCTTGGCATCTTTCCTAAAACACTCCAGCTAGGTCTGAAGACTTCAAACCCTTCCAAGCACAGCTTAGG